GTGATTGTTTTAAGATTCACTCTAGGATTCTATGTTAGCACATGTGCACACTAGCATTCATTTGTGGGGTACATGCTTTGTGGATTATTGAATTGGTTATATCTCAATTGGGCTAGTATTGCATTGAAAACTTTCATTTTGATAAAGGTGGATAACAACCCCTTTTCACTAAGTAGCCGGGATTCTAGCCTCATCAAGCATTGAATTTCTCGCACCGAAAGGTGGAGGGCCCAAACTCTAGGTTAATAATTGAACTTGCTTAAAAAAAAAAAAAAAAAAAAAAAAAAGTGAGGACTTCTCCCAAAAGGTGAGAAGTGGGAAATGATTAGATGGAAGTTGTTTTGATTTGTAGCCTAGTTGATTTGAGCTTGTAAGTCCGTAGGGGTGTTTGAACGCCTAATGCCCTAAAGCCGTCCGGTTTGGGAGTCATTGACCTAACGCTCGACCTTATGGATCACTAGAAAGCTTAATAGATCAACACATTGCACTATGCTTCTATCTTTGATCAACTAAAAAAAAAAATCGAGTGAAAAGAAGAAGCACACCTAGATTAATAAAACTTTAATAAAAGGTCTACTCTTTGTCTTGATGATCGGTACTAGATTTGTGTTCTAGTTTGAGGGTAAGGATATGATCATTTATCTAGTTGGCTAATATAGCAACATATTTGATGCTGGTCCACTCAAAAAGGATTCTAATTGTTTTGATTTGCATGATCATCTTTTTGATGTGTGGAGGACCATATTTGCTTGCTTGATGTTGAGATTTTGAGAGATTGCTTAGAAATGGTTGAAAAATTGCACACTTGAGATAGTTTTCTCCCAATACTTGTTTGCAATATTAGTGTCTCTTTTGTGAGAATGAGCTTAATGTTTATGGGTATCATTTCTGGAAACCCTCACGAGACTTCACTCGTCCACTAGGGATAACCTAGGAGTTTAAAAGGCTTGTTGCATACGCTAAATGTAATCGTGTTCCCTACAAAAGTGGTGTTATCCATTTATTGCTTTCTAGTTCAAAGTTGTATAGTTGTTCATTTCATTCCTTTAATTTGTAGTTTATTGATAGGGACTAGCAATATTTAAGTTTGGAGGTGTGATGAGCGCTGAAAAGTGTGTATTGAAACCCCTTAAGCTTAGGTATTCTAGGACCTTTATCTATCTTACTTTCCCGTTTTAGACTAATTTCATGTTATTGCCTTTTTTAGGTGCTTATTCCCAAAATAAGCTAATTCAGTCAAATAAGAGCTTAAAAGAAGCTAACTCAAGCTGGATGAAAGAAAGGAGCATAGTGGAAGCAGATTGAAGCAAAGTATGGAATTCAGCATGTTCGATCGATCACAAAAACACTTTGATCGATCGAAAGTTCATCGATCTAAACATTTCAAGATGGATCCAAGCTCTTTTATCCGCATCCAAAGATTTCACAAAGTTCGATCGATCCAACAATTCTCAGATCAATCGGAAAGATTCCATCTTATCCTGTTGTACCACCCCACCTACCACTTTTGTCTCTTTCCCTAAAATATCTCAGATCTGTCCTTATCCAAAAAGGCGCCACCATGGGAGGATCGATTCAGCCAAAGTTTAATAGATCTCGGCCATGTTCGATCGATCACAGCACAGTTTCGATCGATCGAACCCTCTCAAATTCAAAAAAAAATATATTTCTAGCTCATTAAAAGTTGTCTCATTATGCAATCATTGGAGGAGCCCTTGTGTACAAGCCTAGACCATTGGGTGTGACATTTGAGCTACCTATATAAGGAATATGAGCCACTTTTACACATATGCTTACACATGCTTAGATATATGCTTTTGGTAGATAGTTTTTAGAGACAATTCTTAGAGAGGAAGAAAAGAGAAGAGGAGGATAGAGACATTCTTAAAAGGTTTTCCATCTACTTCAAGAAGAGAAGCATTTTTACCATGGAGATAGCCCTTGAGGGTTGGAGGACACCATTCATGAGTGGCTAGACATCTTCTTGGGGCTAGAGTTAGCCCTAAGCATGCTTTCTTTATCTTGATTCATGTATTTTTGAGGGGATTTGTGTTGTAATACATGTTTTGACATATTTATATACATAAATATTGTTTATTCAATGATTTGTGTGGTTTAATTCTTCGAATTGATCATTTCATTCTATCCATATGTCTATGTATGCTAGGATAGATGTTCATATGTTTATCTCTATCTCTTGTATTGTTGATGCATGTCTATGTGTGTTGATGCTATAGATCTAGAGATTGCCAAGACATAGTGCTTAATATAATGCTCTTGTTGTTTATTTGATGGTTCATACTCATTTCTTGATGGATTGTGCCTCTCCCTTAGTCTAATTAGTTTAATTTCCATGTCATTAGCTTAGATGTAGTTTAGCTACCTTAGTTGTTAAATGGGAGGACAATCTATGCTTGTTGTTTGATGTTCTATACTTATAAATGCAAGTAGTATATTTTTTTAATTTTGTGATGTGTTTGGATTATGAGCTTAAAGAAGGATTAATGGCTTACTTTGATATATTGTGAAATTCATTGTGTTGTCTATACAATATACACTTAATTGGTCACCCATGCTTGTTGAAACAACCACACACACTCACTATTGTTGCAACATATGCCTTCCCCTCATTAATTGTGAGTTGAGTATAGAGAAAAGTGATGTTTAATGGTGATCTCTAAGTTCTAAGATCTCTCTCTCTTGTTTTCTCTATCCTTTAATTACTTGCTTGATATTGATCTTGTTTAGTTTTAATTGTAGTTTAATCAACCAAACAACCTACCTTTGATCACTCGACCTACTAACCCTAAGCCTTATTTCCACTACTAGTGCACCCTCAATCCCTTGGGACGATCCCTACTCACCCTTGCTATATTTTTAGTTAGTGGTAATAGTGGCATTTATAAATGTAAAACTTGGCCACACTATTTTACACAAATTTGGTTTCACACCGTGACGGTCACACCACTTGTGATCGGAGAAAACCTCAAACTTCTCCCCGTACAAATAATGTCTCCACCCTTTCAAGGCAAAGATGACTGCTGCTAACTCCAAATCATGTGTCAGATAGTTCAACTCATGAGTCTTTAACTGTAAAGACCCATAAGCTACCACCCATTCAGTTTGCATCAGAACACACCCTAAACCTTCTTGTGAAGCATCACAATAGACCATGTAACCTAAACCACGTTCATGTATGATCAAAACTGGAGCTGATGTCAACTTGATCTTCAACTCCTGAAAAGTAAAATTACAAGCCTCATTCCATATGAACTTGACTCCCTTGCGAGTAAGTCGAGTTATAGGTGCCGCTAAATGAGAGAAATCCCGAACAAATCTCCTGAAATAGCCGACTAGGCCAAGAAAGCTCCGAATCTCAAACATTGTCTTTGGATGCTCCCAATCTATCATAAACTCTATCTTTAATGGATCCACTACAACACCGCCCCCTGACACGATATGTCCAAGGAACTTCACCTCTGGTAGCCAAAATTCGCATTTTTCTCGAACTTGGCATACAATCGGTTATCCCTAAGGATCTACAAAACTGTTCTCAAGTGATACTCATGCTCCTCTATCGTAACTGAGTATATAAGAATGTCATCAACAAACACCACCACAAATCTGTCAAGATAGTCACTGAATACACAGTTTATCAAATCCATGAAAGCTGCTGGAGCATTGGTCAAACCAAATGGCATCACCAGAAACTCATAATGGCTATACCGTGTACGAAATGCGGTCTTAGATATATCCTCATCCTTAACCCTTAACTGATAATAACCCGATCTCAAATCGATCTTCAAAAAGTATGTCGCTCCTTTCAACTGATCAAACAAGTCATCAATCCTAGGCAAAGGATACCTGTTCTTGATCATAGCATGATTTAACTTGTGATAATCGATGCAAAGTCTCAAAGACCCATCCTCCTTCTTCGTAAAAAGAACTGGTGCTCCCATGGTGAAGCACTAGGACGAATAAAGCCCTTAGCTTTTAAATCATCCAATTTACCTTTCAGCTCATCAAGCTCTGCCGATGCTATACGGTACGGTACCATAGAGATGGGTGTTGTACCGGGAATGACATCAATGGCAAAAATAACTTCCTTTAAAGGAGGTAACTCTGTCAGTTCCTCTGGAAAGACATCAACAAACTCCTCAACAATGGCCGGAAGAACACGGCCAAACTGCTATCTTCTTCAACTAGCAAACTAGCTAAGTAGGGTGGCGACTCCAGTCACCAATGCTGAAAATCATTGCTGGGTGGGAATCACTCTGATCCCCCACAAAATGGAAATAATCTCCCTTGGGAGTGCAAACAGACACCCTCCCACAGAAATAATCAATCGTAGCCCGAAAGAATGACAACCAATCCATCCCGAGAATGATGTCAAAGCCCGTCATGTCGAGAACAACGAAATCGAATTCTAAGGTCCGCCAGCTATCTCAATAGCACAACCCCGACAAACACGATCCAAAGATACTGGACCCCCAATTGGTGTGTCAACACAGAGAAGATTATCCCAAAGTGTGACCTCCAGACCCAATGAATGTGCAAATGATGCAGAAATGAAAGAATGTAATGCACCTGTGTTAACAAGAACTCGTGCCCAAGAATTGAAAACTGGAAAGATACCTCAAACTGAAGAGGTGCATGCAGAAGTATCCGTCTGTGGAAGAGTGTTGGCTCGTCCCTGAGCCCTGCTGTGAATTGCCATGATAGCTTGACTGATGGTATCAGGGCAACAACGCTCTTGATAATCTACATCGTTTGCTCATTTCGGCAAACCTCTACTAATTCCGCTACTTTTTTGTTTATTCGGATAAGAGAATCAACAAGCCATAACAGAATTATCCATGGTAGGGAAAGAGAATACATCAATTGGATCTAAGTATGAAGATCCAAATAATCCTTTATATCTCCATCACTGTGACCATCTAAGAGTAGTCTTAGTAACTCAACCCTTAACCGAAGGCAATTATTATACGTAGAGTCATGCTATGGTTACGGATTTGAGTGATAAGAATAAGATCAGTTTCATTGACGGATCTATCCTAATGCCAAACGACTCCTCGATAGCTGAGTTACAACAATGGATTCGCTGTAATAATATGGTGAAATCATGGTTGCTTAGTTCTCTTTCAATGGATATACATCAAAATATGATCTATAATGATCTCGCATATGACATTTGGGCATACCTAATGGAACGTTTTTTACATGTCAATAATCCCCATGTGTTCCAAATTGAGCGAAGTATTTACAAACTGCTTCAAGACACCATGTATGTGGTGACTTATTTTACCAAATTGAAGGGGCTTTGGGATGAACTATCTGATTTATGCGTCATTCTTGCATGCTCTTATGGGGCCAGGAAAGAGATCCAACAGTATCAACAACGTCAGAAAACCATGAAGTTCCTTATGGGTCTCAATGACTTATACCATGTGATTCGTGGACAGATTCTTTTAATTGATCCATTACCTTCTGTTAACCGAGCATACTCTTTGGTGCTTCAAGAAGAATGACAATGAGAAGTGTCCTCTCACAAACCTACAATCCTAGAAGCAGCTGCTCTTGCAACGAGAGGGAACTTTAATGGTCAAGAAAAAGATGATTATACAAACTCCAGAAAGAAGAAAGATGTCAAAGAATGTCCAAAGTGTGATCATTGTGGATGGGTGGGTCATACAATAGTGAAATGTTTTAAACTTCATGGATATTTTTCGGACCACCGACTCCACAAAGAAAATTTCAAGGCTACTGCCAATCAAATCTCATCAGTTGTTAGGCAAGAGCTATCAAGTGGATTTCCTTTCACCCCAGAACAAAGCCAACAACTCCTCACTCTTCTTAACAATGCCAATAAAAGAACCCCTATGGCATATCATGTAGGGAACACATCCACAATGTCCAATTTTTTAGGTAAATCACTTTGTCTCACTTCATCTCTTGAACAAACTCCATGGATTCTCGATAGTGGAGCAGCAACAGACCATATAGTCTGTTCCCCAACTTGTTTTACTTCTTCTTTTCCAGTAAAAGGACAAACTGTTAAATTACCTAATGGGACCCCAGCTCCTGTAACACATATTGGTTCCATCATTTTTTCTCCTCATTTAACATTGACAAATGTCATGTGCGTTCCATCCTTTTATTTTAATCTGATTTCAATTAGTAACCTTTCTAAAAACTCCAATTATTCAATAACATTTTCCTTTGATTCTTGCATAATACAGGATCAACGCTCAAAGAAGATAATTGGGATGTGATCTGAGCAGGATGGCCTATACTATTTAGTAACCCCAGGGGGAGCCATGTGCCAATCAGCTAACTCCTCATCTTCTCAATTATGGCATCATCGTTTGGGGCATTTATCTAATAAAGCTTTGCATTTTCTTTCAAATAATGTTTTCGAAATTAAAACCTATGATGTTGAATTTTGTTCCATTTGTTCTTTAGCAAAGCAGACAAGACTTAAATTTCCTTTAAGCTTTATCTCAACCAAAAATTCTTTTGAATTATTACATGCTGATATTTGGGGAGGGTATCAAACACCCTCAATCTCAGGGGCTCGTTATTTTCTTATCATAGTCGATGATTCTACTCGATGTACATCGGTTTATTTGATGCATCACAAGTCTGAAACCTGTCATCTTTTAAAGTCTTTTCTTCAACTTGTTGAAGCCCAATTTTCTTCCAAAGTTCATGCTATACGGAGTGATAATGGCTAAGAATTTAGCATACCTTTTTATAATGTAAAAAAAGGAATTGTTCATCAACACAGTTGCGTGTCCACTCCACAATAAAATAGAGTAGTAGAATGTAAACATTGTTTTTGGGGAGATGCAATTCTCACAACTACCTATTTGATCAATAGAACACCTACACTTATTTTATCTAGTAAGTCACCATATGAGATGTTATTTAAAATTAAACCATCATATACTCATTTGAGAGTTTTTGTGTGTTTATGCCTTGCTTCCATCCAAATTTGATGCGCATGCTAAAAGGTGCATTTTTCTTGGATATCCTTATCGGAAAAAGGGGTATAGAGTATATGATATTAACAACCACCAAGTATTTACTTCTCGTGATATGATTTTCCATGAAAAACAATTTCCATTTGCTCAATCCAGTGAGTCACCTCAGTACCCTGTTTTACCTTGTCCATTTGATGCTCCAGATGGAAATGTATCGACCTATCATCCACCTTCTAACCACATACCAGACTCATCTCTACCAAGTTCCGCACCATTTCCTCCACCTAGCTCAATACAACATTTTAATACCCCTAATTTTAAAAGGATAGTCTCGGTATTTATTTTATGGTTTTATTGCATTTTTAAATTCATTATTTGATTATTTGGTTATTTGTTTAATTGTTTAATTGGATTATTTGTTTTAATTTAAATTGTAATGACCCAGATTTTCATAGATATATATATATATTTTTTCCGTTGTCTTTCCTTACTGAGTTCAGTTCCTCTTCGCTTAGTGTTGTCTCAAGTGCTCTGGAGTGATTTCGAGACTCTTTTTTGTGGATTGATAACTTCCTTTGAGGACCAAGTCATTTCCACATTTTTTATTTTTTCGACATTATTCACTTTTCGTCCTTTTCCTTATTTCGTCTTTTTCCCTATTTTGTCTTTTCCCCGTTTGGCACTTTGTTGGCATAACCACACTTCTTATGTTTGAAGCTGGTTTTTGACTTCATGTATCTTCATCTTGAGTGGTTTCCACGAAATACATATCTTTACTTTTGCAAGAAAGTACTCTGGTTACTCCCGGTGTCCATAGGGGCATGGATGCAAAGTTCTTTGAAATTATTTTCTTTTCTTGGGGTGTTTTTCGTAAATATCTTTTGAAGATATTTTATTTCAGGGGTTTTTAAGAAAATTTTTTTGAAAGATATTTTCATTCTGGGCCATTGTGCAGTTTCACTTTTTGGAGGGACCATTGTGCAATTAATGAAAGTTATTGCTAAATGCCTTGTTTTAAGCCTGGATCCTCATACGGGATTCATTTTCACTTTTCGTCGAGTCGTGTACTCTTAGAAAATCCTCTGGTCATTGTTTTCCAGTTTCAGAGTTTCTGGCCCCAGTTAGCGCCAAACTTGTTTGGGGAATAACTTTCTGCTCGGGACTTAATTTTTGACGTCGTTTCTTTTGTTGTTTATATTTTCTCATTTTAAATCTTTTTTGTTCATAGAGTTTTGTCATTTGAGCACGTCTGCTCAAATTTCACTTTTTCAGACTTGGCGGGGCCCGTTCAGGGCATTTTTTGAGATTTCTATAAAAGGGGGGTGAGATATTTTATTTTTTCATCTTCCCCACTCTCTTGCATGACCTGAAGCTTACATGGTAGCCCAAGGGAGGCTTCCACCTTCTCTCTCCTCTTTTGAGCTTCATTCCTTCGTCAGAACATAGAAGGGCCTTTGCGTTTAGTGTTCGTGTTGACTACGCGCTTCTTTCACCCTTATTAAAACCCATTTCTGACCATTCTTTGAGTTTGGGTTTGAAGTCAAGTTGTGATTTTGATGGGGCTTCCTTGAGGGTAATGTGCACGGTGTAGTCCACGACAAAACCTAGAAGTTTCGTCGGATTCGGAGCGGTTTCCATTTGGTGGCTTTTGAGATTTTCATTTCAAATTGAGGTAGGGGATGTTCTAGGCTTTTGTGTATGTTGTATTGAGTGTTTAGCATGATTATACAACTTAATTGCATGCCTTGTATCGATTCTAGAAAATTAGTATTAATTATTTCTTTGTATGAAATTTAATTCACAAGGATGTGTATAACTTAGAATGGAATTGTGGCATGCTAGAAAATCATGTTTTAATATGTTTGTTAACATATATTAAATTGGGATTAATTGAATAAGAATTGGATATTTTATTTAAGATTTATCTTTTGTGAAAGATTAAATCCCATGGCCGTACCTAGCATAAAATTGACTTGTGATATGCTTTTAATTTGAGAGTATTTGGACAAGTATGAAAATCTAGAGATTTTAATTAAAATGATTAATTAAAATCTAATTAAGGGTTCCATTGGCCTAATTAAGTGTTTAACTTGATATTTGTGATAACTATGACTTATGTTCTAGTATATGTTAATTTGGAACCATTTGATGTTGTTTTAGAAGTTAGGGATTTGATTATCATGATTTAATTGAATTTCACTTTATTGTTCTTATGGCCTAATCGAGCTTTGATGTGGTGTATGTAATGACCATGCTATATTGTTTATCATGTATTAATTGGAGGCCATTTGATTGAGATTTGAAACCTAGGAAATTTAATTAGTTTATTGATTAAATTCCGTTTCTATTGTATTATTGATTAACTCATGTTTTTGACATTGATAGTATGTTTAAAGCATGAATTTTGATTTATAATGGATTTATGAGTTATGTTTCAATATTGGATTATATTGTTATAGCGCGTAACGAATCGCGCTCTGAAGATTCGACATGTGATGTTATTATAGCGCGTAACAAATCGCGCTCTGAAGATTCGACATTGTCATCCTATAGTAGTTGTGGATTTAGAGCATGTGTTGTGTGGTTTCAGCCTACTTATGCATGAAGGTAGTTTCGTGTACTATTCAATATGTATATAAGTTGTAAACTTATCTATTTATTTTGGAACCACTTAGGACATTGCATGATGGCTAGGGTTTAGCTCTAGTACGGGGACAAGAGTTCTCTAAGTCAAAAGTTCACGCATTGGGTAGGCTGCCTGGGGTTTAGTAGCTCCAAATTAGCCCAGAAAAGTTCGGGCGTTGGGTAGGCTACCTGGGGGTTAGTAGCTCCAAATTAGCCCTGTATCAGTCTCATCCGACTGATGTCCAAGTCTTCCACTATTTGTTTTGACATTTAATTCCAAGTTATCAATAATGTTTATATTGTGACTGTGGTTTTGGCTATTGGCGATTTGATGTTGTTAAGTACATCCATACTAAATTGCTATATTTAGTTGATTTAGCATTTAGATTTCAAGTTGATAACTTTGAGAATCTATATCTAGTTGCTTTGTGTAAGCATGTTTCTATCTGGTTGCTTTGTGTAAGCATGTTTCTAACTAGTTGCTTTGTGTAAGCATGTTATATCTTGTTGCTATGTATAACATGCTCTTGTGTTGTTGAAATTGCTATTCTAAAAATGATCTTAGGTAGCTAGGATGCTCCCTGAGTCTCACCTTTGACATAGACGTTAGGTGGAATGAACCACAATGATTAACTCATGTACACTTGTAAAATGTAAGTCGATGCATGCTCATTTCTTACGAGTAGCTTTATGTTACTCAGCCCTACGATACTGGGGCATATTTCAGGTACAGGATACAAGATTGGAGATTGTATTTGCTTGGGTGATTTGCTGAGTTGAGCTTCTTTAGAAGCATTCTTGTTCACATGCACGTGTTAGCATGTTCATGATTTGTTTATGAAATGTAATTTTTCTAACTTGGAGGTTTGACATGTCAAATGTTGTAAATTTATTGTAATGAG